GCTTTTGAACAAGGTATCTTATTCAAAGGGGTGGTTCAATCCCTTGGAGTTTAAGCAGAATGATGGTTCTTGGTGAAGGCCAAGACAAAACTAGGCTATCCCTGCTAAAATTTTCGTGTCTATATAGATTGGCTACCGTCAATTTTGCAGGACTTCAAAAAGGGAGTCGTTAAGTTTTACGAACAGTGTATATCATAATATCAATCTATTAAATAACAATCTCTTACTAATATTAAATGATCAGCATAATAAAATTATAAACAATTGTGAAATTATAAACATACGAGAAAATTTTTGAATACCTACATTTTCATACGTAACTAAATTTTTCCAACAGTCTTTCGTAACGTTGCTTATAAATAATTTTTAAACAGAGCTGTATTTTTACCATCACATACTATTTAAAGCCCTTTAACGAAACTCTTTGTGATAATTTATGCCATTTATTTTTGACATTATTTGAAGTAGGTAATGCGAATACTTGAAAGTGACATATTGAAAAAAAAGACGAAGAAAGAAATTTGGCTCATCTTTTCTTAATAAAATAAAAGCCTATTTATTATAGAGGATTTAAAACAGTTAGGGTTTAAGGTAAAGATTTTTATATCTGTTAGTTCGAGTCATAAATGAGAATTTTTAGTTAGCTCTAAGCATTTTTTTTCTATTTACATTTTGAATAAAATTTTGCTGAATTTATTAGAAACATTTAGAAGTCAGTCCGCCCCTGGACTGACTGATACTTCTGATTATGATAACACTGATAATCAAACACGTGTCTCATTTTTAAACAAGTTTGTTATGAGGAAGAAGTTATTTTTTCCTATTTTCCGAATAATAATGCGTCAAAATCAAACTTATTGAGACTATGTTGAATTGATATTAGATATACATATGTATGTATTTTCATTAGATCAACAAAATTCTTCGCTCACTTAGCTTTTATTATGTAATTATAGGAATTTAATTAAAATTTAATAATTGACGTATTTATTTTTTTCTGATTAACTAAACTGATAACGAAATTTGAAATTGTGATAAATTGGAATGTGTAGATTTTTGTTTTTTGTACAATAATGAATATTTCATATAATTTTAATTTCAAGTTATTTTCATTATAGTGCTCTGAAATACTTACATACATATTTGACTGTTATACTGTGAGATTTTCTGTAAATATTCCTAAAATCTTAACACCGTAAATATCCTGCAGTTAGGTAAATCTATACAACAATTTCTTTAAAAGAATATTTTGAACAGATTCTTTTAATTTCATTACGAAACAATACGAATAAATGTATAAAAGTAATTTATCATTGATAATTTTTCAGAAATTCATCACGTTTTTTTGATTGCAATCGCACAAATGATTTTTCCAATATTTACATCATTTTTCTCTTATCCAGATTTTTTAATTCCTTTTATCTTAATCTAATATGCGCTGTAAATTATTGCATACATTGTTTCATAAAAAAAGAAGGCTAAAAAAGTGTTGTATCTGTTAAATAAGTTTAAAGGTACTCATTCAAATTCGGTTAAATGTTTAATTGTCAATACCATCGAAGATTAAAGTTTTACACTAATATTTTGTTATACGTAGGGAGGGCGGGGCTAGTTGAGCATAGTGGCAAGTTGTGCAATCGAAATATCTCGAAAAATATTATATCACCAACCAAATAACTATATTTTTTATAATAATTCAACATTTTTGTATTAAGTAGAATAAGTTAATGGGACAGGTATAGATATACTACATTACTACTGTACAGTTGTATTTACATATCTAGTTTCCAATACTTATATTATTCACAGTTAATTCTAAACGAATTGGTTCCTATACCATCAATGATTATAAATATTATTATAGGAAAATTACAACGTACATATAAGCCAATTCAACATTATTGTTCAACGATTATTTGTTTTCTGTATTTGGATTGCGGAAATGGCTCAACGCGTATTATTTCCATGATAAGATAAAGTTCCATATACCTGTACTTAATCATAATTATACATAATTCAATCGATACATAGAAAATCAACAAACTACTTTAATAACTGGCTTATTTAAAAAACGTTTTTGAAATTGATCGATTTTGTACAACAATTAAATGTGTGAAAGTTCTGATATATACATAGGTAAAGGAAATATGCGTACGGCATTTTCTTCGTACTGGAGTGTAAATAAATAGAATCTCCTAGGCGAGTAAGCGAATAGAGAAGCAAAATGCGAGTCAAGTTCATGCCTATGAGCTCGACTGCAATGTTGATCAACTGAACTTACTGAGAACAAATACCATTACGGGCGTTTCGCTGGCCGTCAATCGTTCGCTGGACGGCCGTTACGGTGCGCGGTTTCACGTTTGCTTCCATTTCTTTTTTTATACTTCCGTAAATAGACCGGTGCATTGTTGCGATCGCTGACGACGCAGCTCCTCAACTCCTGTTATCTAGCCGCTAATGCAATTTCTATTTTATTTCGTTGACGAGCCATTACAAACCTATCGCCTGTTACTTAGCGCCCACTGATTTTAAGGAAACCGATATTATCAACTGCAACAATATCAACTTTTTCTAAGTGCAAGGCGCATCAACTTGATTATATTCAGGATGTGCTCCGCGAAAACGGCTAATAGTAACTACAGATTGATTGTATTAGTAAGAAAACGCTACCGTGAAATAAATTGTCACTTTCACGCATCGTATGTCTTATACTATTTCTATCTGTCTGTAGGTGCTTGATTATTACATAATTTACCTTACACACTTATATTATAAAAGCGAGTTTTTATTTTATATTGATACAAAATGAATACCGACAAACATTCTTTCAATCTAAATAGGTACTAAACTAATTTCATTTTGGTTTATGAAATCCACTTTTTAATAGCAAAAAGAAAATGGATGGTGTCGGTGAGTGTAAATTGCTTTCGTGTTAAAAAGTAATTAGTTATTATCTCACTTTCCAACAATCGTATAATAAGCTGGTATACACAGGCAATATCTCGTGGCGTGCGTCCATTGAAAACGTATCTTCATTATTTGTAAAATATTTTTAATAAAAGTGAAATGGCCGATATAAGTAGGTATGTACGTGGACAAGTAGTACTTACTTTTTCTGATATTGGACACATTTTATTTATTTTTGTGTTTCCAATTACAAATTTTAAAGGGATTAGGTAGGCAACCATCTTGTTTCCTTGTTAAATCCTTTCAATTTCGTATATTGATTTCTACTGACATTACATTCAAAATATTTGAATCACTTTATTTACTAAACATTTTCGATTGCATAAAACGTTTACGCATTTATTCACATAATATGTACTTGTATTTATAATTTACAATAAGAAACGAATTGTTACATCAGTGAATACGAAATAGGCGAATAATTAAATTTTCCGTAACATTTTTTCATAAAAATTGATACTATTGAAAAAAACTCCACGCGCTGGTGGATTCGACTAAATTCAATTAGAAACACTCAAAAGCATATTATGATTTATTAGATGATAAATTTAACTATGCATTAATTATAATAACCTATTTAAGAAATAGGTCAAATTCAAAGAATTAGAGTCTCAGTTAAAATTTTCTAACCAATGACAAGGCTTAAATTTAGATTGTTGGATATTTTTGCGCAATATAGGCTATTTTATTGACTAGAAAAGGCGCCGGATAATTTTATTATTAACTTCCACAACAATTATCGGTATACCTAATTTGAAAACTGCTAATTGACATCGTGAAATAACTCTTTATTTAATAATTAGCCAGTGTTATGTTACTTAATAAAAATGGAATGTAGCAGTCTATTGTTACTCTTTTTTTTATAAAAACTGGCTTAAATTGGCTAACTGAGATTTTGATAATTTATAGCAGTGTCTACTTATTTGATTTTTATAAAAAATAAATAGAAGCAATAAAATCAGTTCAGAAAATAGCCTATATTAAATTACTAAAATAAGCGGAAAGCTGCATGGGCCATAAAATTTATGTAAATGATAAATTATAATTTTACGTTTAATAAAAATTTTGGCAGAAAAGTACCCACTGTATAACGTTGGAAAACTTTCGCTTGGCAACTTTTTTAAAAAACTGCTAGATTTTTTAATAAAATAACAAATTCCTATTTTAATTCTGGTTACATCAAATTATTAACTGCATTTATTTATAATTTGAATATTTCTATCAAAGTGTTTAGTGCTAAATTTATTTAGAAATTAAAACTCTTGTCTGTATGAATTATTATTTTGCGTAAGAAATGTTATGTTCGTACTGATAAGACATTGAATACGAGTCGTAATTGGTACTATTTATTGTTGTAAAAAATAGGAAATAATTGAATATCTTTGGTATAGTGTAGAACTGTTTAATTAAGAATTTATCGACTTTTTATTGCATGCGAAAAGTGTATTTACTTAATGAATGTACGAGGAAAGATTATTAGTTAATAAATGTCCAAAAAATGAGTTTTTTCTATGTCTATGGCCCCGACCTAGGCCAACGTGTAATTATAAAAATGCCGCGAAGAGAGCAAAGTACCACCCGCCCACGATCATCGGCACCAGGAAACAACGCAGCACCTCCTAGACCGGCGTCGTCAACTTTGTTTACAATAATTTTCTAACATTAGAATTCAATCTATTCGGCTACCGACTACTCATAGCTAATACATAACCTAACTCAACTTTTCTAACTCTGCGCATTCGAGTAAAATTTCACTTTCAGTTATACACGAACACGACGCAGGCCGAATGATTGGATAGACGGTCGGCTGGCTACACAGCGATTCTTGCCTTGTATATGAGTCAGTGGGACAGTATACACAGTTCTGAGCGAGGGACTAGTACAGTGCTGTCGAGGAGCTGCCTACCGCTATCAACACGCGAGTGTTTTGACAGTATCCTTTTTGCCGGCAGGATAACAGTGTAGTGTTCGATGCGCGTTTAAAATTTCACCGCTTTTTCTTCAAGACTATGATACTTATCAAGCAAACGAAAATGCCTGTCGTCGGTGATCTTACTTTATTCAAATCTTTGGTCAAAGAGGAGAAAATCAAGGAAGAGTGCGAGGACTATGTCTGCAGCAGCAGCAGTAGTGTTGAGGAAGACGGACCTTTGGACTTGAGGGTGAATTGTGCCAGGGCAAGTCCTGCTAGAGATTCCGGTACGGAAAGTGATGATACTGAGGATAAGATGATTGTAGATGATGGGGGAGACTATAAGCCGTTTAAAAAGAATTTGATTAAGAGATGTAAGTGATTTATTATGTTAGTTAAAAGGAACGTTTATTAAATCAAAATAATTTAATGATAATGGTTGTTGAGAGAAATAATTATTGAATCTATTTTATTAATAATACTATACCTACTTTATTTTGATTATTACATTTTTAAACCTATACCTATTATATGCTACAATTTTAATAATATTCTATAAAACCGATTAACTTTTATTCCACAAATATCTTTTATGGAACAGATACCTATCATTAATTTCCGATTTTTTTTTCTTTAAATTTGTAGGTACTTGGATGAATTTCCAAAAATTCAAAATTACCTACTATTAGTTGATCAATTCTATAAAAAAATCTTTCATTAAAATTATAAATTTTATTATTATTATAATTATTATAATAATTAATTACCTGATGGCACCTATAAGATAATGCGGTAATCATATACACAAATTCCACAAATTGATTTTAATTATAAGTAGTACAAAATATCTGTATAAGTACGCGAAAATTTCATAATACACTTTTACAAACTAATAAATTAATTGATCTACTCTATCTTAAAAGAAAAATAAATAACTTTAGTTTATAGCTTCCAAATTAAACTTATGAAGCAATGGTGAATTTAATCAGAGTGGCGCATATACATTTTTGCATCTCATATACGACCTTCAAATTTTTTTTATCAAATATTAATCGTGGCAAAAAATCGCTCGCAATAATTTAGGCTTTTTTTTGTCACCTCTTAAACTGATAAAATGCAGGATCACTTGTTTGAAATTTTAATATTTTGATATGCCACGACCTTTACCGTGTTGTGTAAGGTTATAAAAATGATATGAAAATATTGCAAAAATTATCTAATATGCCTAATATACCAGTGGAGATTAAGTTCGTACTCTTTATCGCCCAGTGGATTTTGTTTACTCGAATTTTAGCCAACAAAACGGGCGGCTATTAATACAATGTAGCAAAATATTTTCAACATATGTGAGAATTCTTTTGGCAAGTCCTGGATACGTGTATATATCATCAAATGTGATAAATAAATTTTAATAAAACAATTTCAGCGACCACACCCCGATCATTTGATCAAACATTAAAATAGACATATTTGTATACGATCGTAAAATATGTGCCTATCACGAAATTTATTGCTTCCTAACGAACATTTATTCGCCAAAATGATAATTGCCATAATTTGGATACCCTTTTTGATTTTCCAAAGTTACGCCTTTGGTATAGATTTTCCGGTATCCGTCAATATGCCGGTTAAAACTGGGATTTGCAAAGGTTTTAATGAAATGACCAAAATTTTCCGACCAGAAAAATCGTTTCCATTCTTTTTTTACGGAAAATTTATTTCTACCGGCTTCCTTTTGCATAACTCTAGAAACCCAAAGATTCTGAAGGACACGTAAGGGCAAGGACTTGAAAAGGATCGACGCCTATCCCCCGAACGCCCTTGCTCTAGGTCACGGTCACCCTTCGAATCGATAGGAAATTTACCGTAACAGGCGAGGAAATTCCAACTGGCTTTTCCCGGGTTTTCCGTAAAAGAAAGATTCCAGTAGAGCGAGTTTCCGGGAAAATTGGAATTGGAAGCATGTAGGGTATTTTATTATTATTCTCTGGTATTGGAAATTGAAGTCCCTTTCAAATAATATATATCATTATTAATCGACATTTATTAGTATTTCCTAATTTATTTGACTAAAATGATTTTTTTATTCAGCATTGATATTTATAGAAGGAAAACCATTTTTTTTTCTTTAGATGTAATAACTCATTTTGAAAACCTATACCTATTGGATATTTGAGAATTATTTTTTATTTAATTTTCCACAGAAGATTTAAATCTAAACGATGTGTTGTAATAGTTGCAATATTAACGATATTCTAAGAAATTATTAAATCTGTAAAAACCAATAAACAATCGTTGGATTTTTATACAGATGAAAATGAAGTGTTGTAAACAGGAAATGACTGAACTAAATTTCTTTTGTTAATATCACCCATATAGGTTCATTACCTTTTATTTGGGGTTCAATTTAGGCTCTATAAAATATTGTGCAATATAATCGTTTGTTTTAAGAGATTATTTTAATTTGAATCTCACACTGATCAATTAGAAATGAAATAAATCAAGTCGGTAGGTACCTAAAATTCCTTTACATAAAAGTCTTTTATACCAACGAATGTATGGTATGTTGGAATATGACTGAAATAAGATATTTTGTTTACATTTAGTTTTTCTTGTTAATGGCCTAATTATATCTGCAGTTAAAAACAGTATCACCTTAATATTACGACGACATTGAAATTGTTATAAACTTAAGGACGCGGTGTTTTTTAAATTTTCTGTTTTTGTAAACATCCGATCAACCGTGCTTTAATTCTAATACTTACTTTTTTTGTTTAAATCAAACAGTTATTCAATGATACAAAATTTGTGCCTAAATAAACATTATTTACTGATGATAATGTATATGACATGGTTTGTATTAAACTGATTACAAAAATTTTCTATTCTCATTGAAATGTAGGTAATGCATACCTATACCTAATAAATATAAACATTAACCACCTACACATATTATACTTACACATGCCTCAAAATACAGTCTATTTTATTTTGATGGCAAATTTTTGTCATTATCACTATATTTTTTGCAACGATTGGGTAATTAATTATAATGTTTAAATAAAAATAATAAAATGAATAAAATACATGTTTGGTATTTTCTATGTAATTAGGCATCCCAATTAGATAGACTACAATTAATATAGATGGGTACAAAATATAATTTTAATACGGAAATGTAACTAGAAATACTAGTTACGAATAATTTTTCGCTGATTTGGTATTTCAACAACCATAATTAAGTATTCGTTCGCAGTTTGTAGAAACTTTCAATTATTAATAATTTCAATTTTGCTTTCCAATAACTTGCTCCAATTAGAGTCGCATTCGATAATATCGACAGTGTCTAGAATTTTGCAATCTAAGCAACGGCTTCTAATCCCCTATTTAGCGAGCCTTTGCTAAAGATATTTGTGGTTTTTCATACGTCCTAATAAAGCTACACGATTGTTTTAATGACTATACGTTTGAGGAAATCTACAGCTATAAAAATTTTATAGCGGATATGACTTTAGATATGAGCGGATAAGGTCAGACACCCGCGATTATCATCACTATGGTTATATCAAAATTTTTTGCTATGCCTATTAGGGGAAAAATCGGGAAATCTAATTTCATCTTCGGTTGTCTCAAAAAGGTTTTAATGTTTTTATTATATAATTTTTTGCTTAGTTTTTCTATAAAGTTTAAAATTTATATAAAAAAATTTTTCAAAAATTTTTGATTTTATGATCGACATAAAAACCACAAACTTTGGAAATGTGATAATAAACAGATTTACGCTGTAATTCGCATTTTACAACCTATTAAAATTCTTTTACAAGCTATAACTTTGCCCTATCCTAAGTTGAGAGGTATGTTTGTCTAGTCATCCCGTTATTTTACAAGGGTTGCATTTATAAAAAATTACTGCTTCTGTAAAGTGTCCTACAAGTAGGTATTTTTAGTAAAGAATCTGTAATCATAATATAGATTTTTTATTTTTTGATTAAGTTATTAAATTTTTCGATGTAATCATGAAACTAATTCATCTCGTTTCCTGTTTAATTATTTATTTAACCCACTAAACACCACCCATGTAATTTTTTTCATTACTCAGTGCCAGGTGGAATATAAATCTGAGAACCCCACGATTTCTACAAACTATACATTACATTGACCTATTTTTCGAAAAGAATACCGTTACATTATTTCCCCTTTATAGGTATACGCTGCATTCACAGGTAGACAGTCGATTTCCCAAATTTTTTTACCTGCCCTCACTGTTATTTTAATTTTTTTCAGAGGGTGGTATAATATAAACTTTATTGGATACAGGTTGAGGTGTTTTTTGCACGTTTGTCGGTAGATCAGAGATAAAGGTTTATCGAAAACGGTACATTTTGCTAAAGATTTCTAGAAATTGGAGAATTCTACCTAGAAAAGGAACGGGATGGTATAAAAAAATATTGGGTTGACCATATGGGTAACTTTTGTTCGCATTTCTCTAAAAACGGGGTTATATAGAAAACCTTTTGCGAATTTTATTTCGGTAGGTAGGTATAAATTTTATTAAAGCCTTTCCTTATTTCCAAATTTGTGTTAATTTTAATTGATTAATATCAAACATTTGTAAGATATTGATTCTAGTTAATTAGAAATGAATCGTTGCACTCTATGTTCGAGAAAATGGAATTTCTCTGTCCAACCATAACGTAAAGAAGAAGAAAGTGCTCAATATCTGTATAATTTCACGTCGCAATTCCAGTTGTTCTATTATGCCTATATTCGTGTTCGTGCCAAGGCGTTGTCCATAAAAACGCACTGTTTCAGTTCTTTAGTTTTATCGTATTTCTAAAAGATTTCTAGTTAATAACCCTAATAAAGATATCTAAAGTGTCTATCATAGTGCACAGAAAAAGTATGTCAGTTATAAAGAGTATAAAACGAGGATGTTTGGGAAGGATTAGCGTTATTGTAATGTAATATTTGAATTGGGAAATGTAACAAACACATTTTAAATCCATTTAATGACGAAAGCTTTTCTTTCTCCACTATTGCTGTTTGAAGTCTTTTTCACACACACTAAAACTTCTGCTTGTAAATAACCGTTTACAATCAGTATTGAATGAAAGGAAAAGGGTGGTTTAAATCGTCCATAATTTCCTTGATTTTTATTCAAGATAGTATCGCTCCTTAATAATTAAGAAATGGCATTCAAAAGGAAACTAAATTTCCTGTTATGCTTAATTATTTATGTGGCTATGGTAATATAACCTCCTTTACATAATTTAATCAAATTACATTTGAGAAAATGTGTTTTTCTATTTTATCTCATAGTTGTACCTACTATTTAATTAATCTGAAATTAATTAAAATTAATTTCGTTATAGCC